AATTTCAGAATTGAGCCCGCTCATGAACCTACTCATAACATCTTTCATGCATTCATCCAATCCACTAAACATGATACAAATCTTAAAATCATGGTAGTATTGTTTCACAGGCTTACTACCCTGCTTCAAGTTGTCTAATTTTGCAAGCAAATAATCAGCATAATATGCTGGAATGAATGCATCTCTAAAAATAAATCTGAAGTCTTTCCAAGATTCTAGAACTTTCTTGTGCCTACAAATGTGTTTCCATTCTAGCAAAGCAAATTCAGTCAAAACATTGGAGGCAATATAAATCTTTTGTTTCTTAGACAGGTCATGCTCATCAAATTCATTATCTACTTTTAGCTCCCAATCAGTGTAAGCTTTAGGATCAAACTTACCATCATATAACGGCAAGTGTTGAATGACATCCTGAATATGAGGGTCTAGTTTCAACAGCTCAAAAATTTCCATATCACCTGTCTTGATTAGTAGAAAACAAGAAACACAAAAATAATATGTATCGTCCTGTCAACTACTAGGATGTGTCGGTTGTAATTCTCTCAAACTCAACTTGTTTAAAACAAGCCCTTACAAGTTCTTACCAAGCCAAACAGGAGGTGACGGCAACCAACAAGTCTACAACCGTGGAATGAAGTGTATCAGTACCGCAACAACAACACCTATCAAGCTGTAGTCGAAATATGTGGAGCTATAGGTGGGCTAAAGCAAGGAAGTACTAGCACCACGTGAGTCACAAAAGCAAGCTGAATAATCGTTCAACGGCGGTACTATGCTGGTCCTAGCCTAGACCGTGCTAGAGGCGCGAGCCTGGACACAAAGGAAGTCACAACACACCACCGGAAATAATGGAGAAGCACAACGAACAACCCCTTTTCTTCCTTTTTCTTTTGTTTTCTTTTTCTCTCTCTCTGGAGTAAAACCGAGCCAATATGTATGCACAATATGGAGGAGTTGAGTACAGGTAAGGACTTTTGCTGCCTTTCTGAAACACTTCAATATATGTAGCACAAGTGCAAACAGCAACAAGATTTGGTAACACGTCGCAACAACCAATTCGGACTCCACACCGATTCCAACTCGGTCTTTAACAAGATTAGGACTCTGGAGTAAGCTGAGCTAATATGGATATGTTGGACGTGGAGAAGTTGAGTATAGATATGAACTACTGCTGCACAAAGATGTACTCAGATTTGGACTCAAAACAGCAACAAGACAGCTATCAGTTCGGACTCAAAACCGATTCCAACTCGAACTTCAACACCATGTGGGATTCAGTCTCAAAACAAGCTCAGATTCCTACTCCGAATTGAACACAAGGATGTATTCGGATTCAGCCAATAGAAGGTTTATATGGTAGCACATGGCTGTGACTAGAACATGACAAGAACTCGAAACTCTAAAGGACTAAAACTAAAACCAGCAACTCAACACAACCGATGCAAATCGAAAACTCAACAAGCCCTAACTAAGCAGTGCAAGCAAAGGCTCAAAGGGTTTATAGGATTGCGGATAAACTAACCTACTTTTTTTTGGCTTTTCTGGACTATAGGAAAAATTAAAAACAGCGAAGGATTGGAAGTCTCTCACCGATAAACCTTACTCTGATTACCAACTGGTATGAACCCGCTAAGGTGAATCCTAATCTTTCGATGAGAGAAGGTGGATAACTCGATTTGGGGATGGAGATGACGTTCATGGCCCGACTACAGCATTCCAAGTTGCGCCTTAGCAACCGATACACCACCTCCAACGGTCGTCGCGATCTTGTGGAGCACGATCAACCAAACCACTAGGGTAATTCCTGCAAGCAATCGAGGAACAAGCAAGAACAAGTAGAACAAGCAACTCAATTGCAAATACGGAGGTGAAAAACCAATCTAAACTCACAAAGTTGGGGTTCTGAATCAAGTAGAACGGATGGTCGAGGGGATCGATGTGAGCTCATATGAACAACTAATTGGAACCCCAGTGAGGGATAAGACCTTACCCCCAATCGCGCTCTGTTCCAGCGGCGAACTGACCGGCAGCGACGGCGATGCTACGTGTGCGCTCTCTGGTGGACGATTTCCACCACGGTTGACTGCAGTGACAAGCTAGGGACCTTGGGCACCGATGAGTGCAAGGAATTGGAGGGAGGTGCTTCGTGCACGATGAATTTGGAGGAGAGGGAGGGGCGGTCATGGTGGCTAGCGACGATGAACGATTTAAAAGCTCTGAGCAGGGCGGGTTGGCGAGCTGATTGATGGAGTGATCAGGGCATGGGGGGTAGGGCGCACGTGGCACAACGTGTCCGGCAAGGCACGTCGGTTAGCACGGATAGCACCAAAAGCTGTGCATGTGCGCGGTCAAATGCAACAGCGCCGCGGCAGGCAACGCGACGACGTTGAGAACAGGGTGAGGTAGGCGGTTCATGTAGCAAGGGACAAGCTCTACAGCGACCGAGGTGACAAGAGGCAAAGGCGTGGACCTACGCCGGTGTGCGAGAGTAGTGCCACGGTCGGCCACAGCTTGCGTACAACAGGGAGCGGCCACGTCACAGACGGGCCCGACGTGCAATCGACGACCACCAGGCTGGCCAGCGGGGCAAAGCACGGAAGGAGGGCAACCAAGCGACCGGAGACGACAGCGCGGCGATGGGGCTAGGCTTGGCCAGATGCTTAGCCGGTGGCCAGGCCACGGCGCGGCCAGACACGGTAGAACGCGTGGTGACCGCGGCCAAAGGCCGATTGGCCGAAACTAGTGCCGTGCACGCTTTTTAAAGCGACGCCAAAGCTACCAAACAGTGCGGTTAAGGTTCGACCAACCTCGCTAACTCAAAGTCCACACCACCATCTTGCTAGGGAAGCATTCGGCGCGATCAAAAAGTGTCTAGGGAAAAAGATACAAGAAGACCAAGATGGGTTCGTCGCGCAGCGTGCCGGTTCACGAGCAGAACACCAAACGTGGTTCTTCGCGTGTTCTAACGAGTTTCAAGCAATTCTAGGATAACCCCGCTACGTCAGACCATTCTACGACCCACTCCACGCCAAAGTACTCACCATGATGCAACTAACGATACAAGAATATAAAAGTTAGGGTTTAAGAAATTTTGCTAGAATTTAAATGCTAACACGTCATCGTCTATTGTTTCCGACTTATAAAATTATAACTTTTAGTTTTGAACTAACATCCAAGAACTACTCAACTAGTTAATTCAATATAACTCGCCACGAGTGATTCTTTTAAACATAAGTTAAATTTTAAAACCCGAGAAAACCGTTTCGGTAAATCCTCTTAGGTCTAAATCATGGTGCTAAACAAGATCGTAACACCGGGGTGTTACATACGCCGCCTTTCTTCGGAATTTCGGAGTAGTGGTCATGTCGCTGACTCCTTGACGTGCTCAGCGCCCTGGCCGGATGGCGCCTAACAACTTCTCCAGCTAGTCGAGTCTAGGTAGTCGACTGCTCGGCGTGGCGACGAAATCACCACTCTGGTTCGCGCCGCTGATTAACTCCAAGACGAGTCTACGGAGCTCCCGTGGCCAATGCCAGCTCAACGGGGCTAGGAGGTACCGAATAGAAGAGCATCCATTGATGAAATTCAGCTTTGCTCATTCTAATTAGAGTTAAATGCACCGGAGGTCCATTAACTTGTGAGAAGGTTTCGGTTAGGTCAATCAAGTTCCAAAGTGGCTTTTTGGGTCCATAAACTTTGTATGTCGTATCACTTAGGTCCATATCCCGCCACGTAGGATTCTCATGCTGGCATGGCCTGCTGACATGTCCTTCTGAAACAGCTCTTGACAATGCATTTTGTCAAACAGCTTGTGGGCGACGGCGACAGAGTCCCCGGCGCGCCTCGCGCGCGCCGTTCGACTTAGGCCTCCAGCAGGCGCACCAGGAGCGGGATGCACCCGTGCTCGCCCACCAGTCGCTTCATGTCCATGCTGCTGTAGATCTTGGTAGATGGTCGGCGCGGCAGCCTGCTGAGCACCCATAGAACCGTCACAGAGCACGTGGACGAGGTGCGGGAGCACGCAAAGCGACACCAGGCTGTCTGGTGAGACAGCGGTGACCAGGTTCCGGAGTGCGGCCACGGGTGACTCCTGAGGAAGTGGACCGTCGAGGTAGGCGAGCAGGCTCCGGAGGCCGCCCTCGGACACGACAGCACGCCGCAGGCTGTCGTTGCTTGACGTAAGGTTCTGCAGGCACTCCGCGGCGTACTCCTTGGAGCCGAGAACGGCGCCGAAGTCGAGCAGGTTGATTATGACTCGCACGATGCCTTCCTCGACCAGTGCTTGCCGGACCTCCGGCACTGCAGAGATGTTCTTGAGCGCTCCTGCCGCGGCGGACTGTGTGATTGAGTCCCCGGTCTGGCACATGTCGATGAGAGCGCGGATGCCGCTCGTGGGCAGGGTTCCTGGCGGACCAAGCGTCGCGTGACGCGTCACGGCTGCTGTACCTAGACTCGCTGGTGGTGCGTGGCCGCGCCCGCGCGTACGCGCTCATCGCGTCGGGGCGGCCGCTGCTGTAGACGCCCACGTACGTGGTGCGCGCCCGCCTCGGCACACAGCCGCAGCAGCTACTCCTGGCCGTCGACACCAGCAACGACACCGCAGGGGCTGCTGGGGCTCGGCCATGGCCTGCTGTCGTTCCTGTCGTAGACCAGCGACATGTACCAGGCCACCTTCTCGTGGTTCATCACGACGTCGCTCATCACCGACATCACCTCGTGGTTCATCCACGCCTGCACCGCCACGGTCATCCTCATCGGTGATGCCAAGTCGCCGGCCTTCACGGCCAAGATCCTGGCTTCCTTCGTCGCGTTCGTGCTCTTCGTTGGCTTCGTCGCGCGACCCGCCAACAGGGGCGCTCCTCTCTGAGGGCTCCTTCGTGGTGGTGGTCATCGCCGCGCTGCTGTCGGCGCTGGTGACGGACGCCATCGGGTTCAAGTACATGATCGGGCCCATGATGCTGGGGCTGGCGCTCCCCGGCGGCAGGCCCATCGGCGCCACCATGACGGAGCGCCTCGACTCCTTCATCGCGCTCTTCCTGCCCGTCTACATGGTGCTCTCTGGCTACTGCACCGACCTCGCTGAGTTCACCAGGTCCGAGGCGTCGGAGAAGTGGTGCGCGCTGGAGCTGTTCGTGGCGCTCTGCGTGTCGGGCAAACTCGTCGGCTGCGTTGCCGCGGGGCTCTCCTTCACCATGCCTTTCCGGGACGCCATTGTGCTGGCGCTCATGCTCAACATCCGGGGCATCGTGGAGGTGGCCGCCATCAACAACTGGGGCGACACCATGGAGGCGACGGCGGAGCACTACCCGTCGGGGCAGTTCGCGCGGGCGAAGCGGCGGTCGCTGGAGCACGCGCGGCTCAGCGCCGACCTCCGCGTGCTCACCTGCCTCTACAGCGAGGACCACGCGGCGGCCCTGATAGACCTGCTGGAGGCGTCGGGCTCCTCCCGCGACTCGCCCATGTCGCTCATCGTGCTCCACCTCACGGAGCTCGTCAGCTGCGCCGCGTCCGTGTTGAAGCCCCACCAGAAGAGCACGAGGTCGTCCAACAGCAGCGGGAACCCGACGCCGTCGGACTGCATCGTGAACGCGTTCCGGTACTTCGAGCAGCAGGCGCGCGGTGACCCCGTGTGCATCCGATGTTCGGCGCCGAGGCAGTGGTGCTCGCCCATAAGCTGTTTGACAAAATGCATTGCCAAGAGCTGCTTCAGAAGGACATGTCAGCAGGCCACGTCAGCATGAGAAGCCCGCGTGACGGGATATGGACCTAAGTGATACGGCATACAAAGTTTATGGACCCAAAAAGCCACTTCGGAAGTTGATGGACCTAACCGAAACCTCCTCACAAGTTAATGGAACTCTGGTGCATTTAACTCTTCTAATTATGTTCAGATCTGGGCACAAGATACTAGCAAATGGTGGCTGATTTTTGGCGTCTACTACTTGCGTTTGGATTTTGATTTCTCAAATCCCTTCTCGCAAAGTAGAGAATATACTACTGCTTCTCCATTCTTCTTTTTCAGGGTTGAGAAATAATTCATGCAAACCAAACACAAATTTCCAATGGAAAAGATTTTCAAGGGTTTTGTTGCGCACACCAGAATACAGTCGGAAGTCACTTCCAGGTGGAAAGAATCACCAGACATCCAAACATGCCCTAAAGGGTCTATTTCACCGGGCCTGCAAAATGCTCGCAGTTCACGTACGGCTACGGCACACGCCCGACCACCACGGGCGCGCTACATCTTTTTGCTTCGGGAGAGCCGGAGAGGTGATCGGAAGTGGGACTGGAAACGAATCGAATGGGTAGGAGGACGTGCGTGGGAGAGATCAGAGAGTATCCGTGCGACCGTGCCCGCCTGCCGTTGGCTGGAGCGGCTGCTGCCCCACGCTGGCCCCCTGTCCTCCTGACACGCGCCGTGTACGACTGGCACTGCAACGCCGGGCGCAGCTTTTGTCTCCCCGGCGGCACGCACGCCAACGCCCCGGCCGTTACGCGCGGGCATGCATGGACGGAACGCAGCCAGCTTGCATGCTGATCTCCTCCTCCACTGCGCCAGCGCCATGCACGCGCACACACCTGACCTAGCGCTAGCCTTGGCCGGGTCGAACCATCTCAAATTTTGAAGTTTATGCCGGGTCGACCCACATCATAAGCAACACGGACGGCCTTTTCGACTGCTTTTGGTTGAGCACTACTGAAGTCCTGCACCACCTGTGGCTTCATGGTTGAGCACAACAAGTTGCGAACTGGACGTGGCCTGGTTTGTTTCCTGGGACACAAGGAACAAACAGAAATCAAGAACAGGAGGAGGGCAGGCAGCCTATTATACACCTGACCTCTCCTTCAATAATGCATCACCCATCAATTCTCTGCAGGCCACAATTAAAGATGGCAACGGCCTCCCGATACCCGATACCCGACGGGTATTTGATCAATTAGGAGACGGGGATGGGATCATATCTTTACCCGCGGGCATATAAATGGGCAAGAATCCATACCCGATGGGTATAGCGGGTACGGGAACGTTCCATGTTTACCCGTCCCCGTTACCCGTTGGGGAACCCGACTATTTGAGCTGTCATGCGAGTATTAGGTCCAAAGAAACTTAACATAGGTATTTTGGCCCAAATCTGAACAATCATATATATAGTTTGTGTTTTAGGAACCCTAGTTTAATTTTTTCTCACCATCTCCGCCAGCAGCACAAGCACGCGTACCTCACGAGCGCTCGTGCCCCTCGCTTCCTCAGTTCGGTCTCTCTGCCACCTTTGCTTGTCCTCCTCGCAACCTCGCTCCTTCTCCTTAGCATCTTCAAGACTTCGACACTTATACCCGGGTGAAGAAGAAACGTCTCCGATTGCAAAGCTGCGACCCCAAGTGTCCTTGTTTATCGGGTATGCAGTACCCGTCGGGTATCTGTTACCCGACCAATGCCCGACGGGTACGGGGATGGGCAAGAATCTATACCCGAGACAGTTAACGGGGACGGGGACGGGATGAATTCTTCGTAGCGGGAAAGAGAACGTTCCGACGATATCCGGGTATATCCCCGTTGCCATCGTTAGCCACAATGCGCTTGGGGGCATGCTCATCCTTACCCCTGTGACGTCATCTCAACCCAAATCTCCCCTCCCCGCTCGCCTGCCAAGGACGATACGCTGGTCCCACTCCTAATCCCCCGTCCTCGCCCCTCCTACGCTTTTGCAGGCTGCAGCTCAGCTTGCATTGCATGCGCGCTCGTACTCTCCCATTCCCGATCAGACCCTACACGGCTACCCTAACCATCCACTGACGCGCGGGCCTAGCGCTCCCATCCTGTCTCCCAGGCCCATCAGCCAGCGTCCGGCGGCGTCCCCCGGAGGAATCTTCTGGAGAGGACCCCGCCGGGCCAAGCGCTGCCCCCGGGTTCCTGACACCGGAGCAGCGAAACGGGAGCTCGCCAGTCGCAGGTCGCAGCAACAACGGAGCACCGGATCGGAACGCGACGAAAACGGCGAGGACGCTGTGGCCACGGCCCACCCCGGCCAAGTCCGTCTCCGGCCCACGCATCCGTCCTCCTCCAGAACCCGTCGGTCCGCCCGCCCGCCCGCCTCTCACCGCCTGTCCGCCTCACCGGCACCTTCCAGGCAGCTTCTCCCGGCTGCCGGGGGCTCGCCGGCCCGCCACGTGCCCCACCGGCTCGAACCAGACGGCAGGTACAGTGCAGCAGCCGCACGCAGGACGGAACGGGACGGGGCGGACGCGCGGTGAGGTAGTGGGGGCGGGCGTTTGCTGGTTGGTTGGTTCCGGTTCCGGTTTGGTGCTGGGGTTTACGTGGCGCCGCCGGTCGCAGTCGCAGCGGCCCCGTTGCCCGAAACGGCAAAGAGGGAAAGGGCCGGGTGACCGGCTGGCCGTGCGCAAGCGCGGAAGGCGACGAAGAGGGTTTAGAGGGGGGAGAGAGAGGGGGGCAAAAGCTGTGACGGGTACGGGGAGTGGGTAGAGCGCGAACCAGCCTGCCAGAGATAAGAGAGAGAGAGAGGGCAGGGAGACAGCAGCAGCAGAGAGGGAGGCGCTGCTGCCCCCGTGGTGATCGAGTACAGTACTACACAGACAGAGGGACGATCGTGATTCGTGAAGCGGTTTTGGAGGAGGGAGGTCTGCCATAAAGCGGCGAGGGGCGTGCGTGGGCCGTGGGGTGCACAAGGAAGAGGAGGAACGAAGATCCTTCTGGGAGGGGGGAGGCGAGCGCCCGTGCGGTGCGAGGACGGAAGAGCCGCGCCGCGCCGGGAGCACGCATGGGAGAGGTGAGCTCGTTGTTGCGTTGCGTGGGTGCTCGCGAGTCGCGAGAGCTAGCTAGCTTACACCAATGGCGCGTCCGCGCTCGGCTGTGTTCGTCTCACCTTATTCGCCGCCGCACGCATGCGCCGCTGGGTTTTCTGCCTTTCTGCTCTCGTGTGATTTCGTCGTGTGGGTTGGTGTGTGTGCGTGGCGTCTGGTTTGGACTCCTGGCGTGCGGTTTTCGGGTGGATTTCCTCGCGAATGTGGTGCGCGCTTCTGTTGCCTGACGCCGCCGATGATGGTTCGCCGAGGCGAGCGGCCGTGGAGCAGCAGCTGGGATTTCACCCTCCTTTTTCTTCGGTTTTTGTTTGTTTCGAGTTGCGATCGCGGACGACGATCGAGTGCGTGCGCGTTTGTGTTCCGCTTTCCGCTCTTCCACGCTGCGATTCCGCGGGGCTCACCGGGATTTGGGGTTTTCTGGGTGGGCTCTCCTGCGATTCTGCTCGGCTTCTTCGCTCGCGAGTTTCGCCGCCGCCGTGTGTTTCCCAGCTCTAAGCATACAGCGCGAGCGCCGGCGGCGGTTTCGGCTACGAATTCCGGCCATTTCGCTGAGTTTTCTCTGCTGCTCCTCTCGAATTTGTGCTTCTTCACCCCTCCGCCGTGCCTCATCGCGGCGGATTCTGCCGGTTGTGGTTTCGTTGTTCGTCGCTCTTAGGGTTTCGTTTGGCCTCCGCGTTTTACCGTCCTTTTGCCATCGGAAGGAGGTTGGAGCTCGTCGCCATTGCGGCTTTTTCCTTTGCCGCGGTTTGTGGTTCGATCAAAACCTCGTCGTCATTGCTCTGGTTGTTTGCCTTTTCCTGTGACGCGGTTTCCTTCTGTCGATTTCGGTGGTGCTGCGTTGCTTTTGCAGCCGTGTTGAGGGAGGGGATGAAATTTCTGCGCAATAATGTGGGAGCCTGCTCTCTGATCGCCCTCTCCATGTGCCGCCCATTCCATCATCGCATTCTATTTCTAGCTTTGCGTTTGCCTTTGGGTTTTGGGGTTTTCCATGGCTTGTTGAGTTTTACTTTGGCAGATTCACGCGCTGGCGCTAATGACGTTTCAGTGCGGTTCGATGCGATCCCACCATCATCCATGCTATTTTTGGGATTCCTTCGGGGGTTGGGACGTTTCGTATGCTTCCCCGTTCAGAGGGCTGCTGCCTACTACTACTACTATTTCCTAGGTGGTGTGGATTCAGAAGAAATCTTTGGCACAAATCTCTTGCGTGGCTGGGTAGCTTCGTATCTGGTACAGTCCTTGTCGTGTCATTCGCATCTACAGTACGTAGACCTGACCAGTGGCCATCTATTGCTGTTGTGACCGAGCTCTATGTGGTGTCCTTGTGATTTGGCCATGGTCTGAACAGGCACAGGCTTGGTGTGAAGTCTTGTCTCTTCTGCTTGTTCGTCAAATGGATTCCTATAGCATTCCGTTTTTGTATCTATGGAGCAGCATGACTGGCTGCATTTTTGTTTTCTTTTGGTGATTTCGGATTCCTTTTCAGTTCCGTGCTGTGCTTGCTTGAAGTTGAGTAATTTTGGAAGTTCGTTTTAAACCTTTTCCGTGAGTTGCTTGGGTAGTGCATTAAATTCACTAGCAGTAGCAATTTTCCGCGAGGTGGCTGATGCCTTTCTCGGATTCCATTCTGACTTGTCTTTGTAGTGGTAACCCAAGGATAGCATGCAAACTTGAATTTTGTTGACAGATTCCACTCTGGCCTTTCTTTTTTAGCTTGCTGTTTCCAGACCTTGTGCTTTTGATTGCCACTGTTCATAGAATGCAGTGATAGTTGAAGTTTCGATCATGAGTTGCTTGAGGGTACTGCAATAAGAGTTCGCCTATTATGATTGTACAAGTTCCAATTAAAGCAAGTCGAGCAATTTGGTCGTTGTTTTGTTCTAATACAGCTTGTTCTCTTTTGAATTCTCAGAACTCAAGC